AGAAGAACTGGAACTTCTGTAATACGCAGCGACAGACAGAACAGGACGAAAACAATCCGTACACTTTTTAAACGAACACAATAACACACGAATGGGCCCTCCCTCCAAGAACCATAGCTCCAAACCCTTTACATACATTCTAAATCATAAATTACCACCCCGACAGCCAACAACAATAACTAGTGGAAATTTATATATATATATATATATATATATATATATATATATATATATATATATATATATATATTGCGTCACGGCATCCAATGGCCTCGTTGTTGATGATGTGTCGTGTCGGGAGCCACGGGCTGCAGTACCGAATATTTCCGGAAGAATTTAACAGAGGATATTGGATGGTTAGCGCGCTTGAGGGAAGAATGTGTGTGCCTGACGATATTGTCGGGTCGCAGTAGACTACCCGATGGCACGCCGGGGCCACCAACCAGTGCGTGGGGGGGGGGGAGAAATATTGGGGGAGAGAAGCGTGGTAATCGGGGATTTTGGTATGGGAGGAGAGAAAATAGGAAAGGGAGATAATAGGGAAGGGAGATAATAGGGAAGGGAGATAATAGGGAAGGGAGATAATAGGGAAGAGATATAATAGGGAAGGGAGATAATAGGGAAGGGAGATAATAGGGAAGGGAGATAATAGGGAAGAGAGATAATAGGGAAGGGAGATAATAGGGAAGGAAGATAATAGGGGAGATAATAGGGAAGGAAAATAATAGGGAAGGGAGATAAGAGGGATGGGAGATAATGGGGAAGGGAGATAATAGGGAAGGGAAATAAGAGGGAAGGGAGATAATAGGGAAGGGAAATAAGAGGGAAGGGAGATAATAGGGAAGGCAGAAAGGAAAATAGCAAGGCAAGTTAATTATCAGGAGAAAGCGTCAAGCCATTACGACTATATAGCACTTGGAACAGATCAAACTAAGGATTTGTGATAGGACGGATGAAGGAATGGTGCCCAATCACTTTGACGGTCGGGGATTGAACACCGACCTGCATCAAGTGAGATCGACACTAATCGTCCAGCCCAAGTGGTTGAATAGAGAAGTAGGAGAAGGAACACGAAATGGGGAAAGGATTTAGTAAATGAGAATGTGAGATAGAGAAAAGGAACAAAAAAAATACGACAAGGATAAGAATTAAGGAAACTCTAGACAAGAAAAAAAACAACATTTTCCTCACCATGAAGAAATATGTAAGATAAGAAATATGTAAGGTAAGAAATATGTAAGATAGGAAGGAAGAAAGACAGTGAGATCAAACACAGGAAAGGGAAATTTGACTTAAAATTGCTAAAGTCAAAATCCGGTGGCTTAAATTATGGTGGAGCGTTATTCTCCCGAGTTGACCTTAACATGTATATTTTATGCACATTTTGTTTACAAGGGGAAGACTGCTTTACATGTGTTTGTCGTCTGTCTTTTAGTGCGCTCCCTAAATGCTCAGGCCTACACTCAAATATAGACACAAACACACATGCTAACGAAAAAAATCAGGCCTTTCGATAATTGCAAGATAACAAAGATTGCGTGTTTTGACAAGTGATTTCTAGACTTTAACTCTAATAAATGCAATGTTGCAAGGGTGTCAGAGATGATCCACAGGACCTATATATTGTGAAGGGTGTCATTTGTATTTTTTTTACACTGGTGGAAACAGGAATAGACGACCACTAACTCCTGTTAACAGACCGAGAGCTTTCCGCACTCCCTTAGCCCTTGGTAAGCCTTATCCCCTCTAGTTTTCCCCGGAATACGACTTGCCAACCTGTTAACAACCAGATATCCAGTTATCTCTGAGTGAACAGAAGCGAACAAATGAGGATTGACACCTAGGTAATCCTCCCTGACAAGGCCTCGAACCCAGGTGAATCGTGTACGAGGCGAGTGTTACCACTGCGTCATCATGTCAGGGAAAAACAGACAAGACTTGTGAACGTTACAATACACGACACCACCGACAGAAAAAATCATTCCATACATCATTCACAAAGCCAAGCGAGTGACAAAAGAAACTAGGCATCACGTGACACCAAAACACTCACTGAAGGCCCAGACCTGAATACACCGCAGCATGTACTGAGGAAATATAACTGGATAGCCTTTAGAAATGTAGATATGGATAAGATACTAATGTACCATACAGATTAATGTGTAAGGTACACGTCACCCTTAAACTCCAGCTGTGTACCATACTCTGAGTGTATACTTCCAATATACAATCTACTCCTTGATATTAAAGGACTGAAGTACGAGGGACAAACTGATTCGAATAAACCTCACATAACTCTTACGAAAATTGAATGGAAACTTGATTAAGATGTACATGATACTAAAGCCTGTCGATAAATTGATCAGGATAGAATGTTTAGACGGACGTGCGTGAAAGCTAGACCAGCAGATGAGCCACAAAGATACGATGATGTACTTCCTTTGCAAATGACAATATTTGTAGTATAAGTAGTTTAAAAGTAAATATGATAATTAATAAGAAAATATCGAATCATTACACTAGACGACCGACAGTCAAATTGGCTGTGGCTCCAGGAGGTGTAGCATTATATCTATTGAATAAAGAGAAAAGTAATTTTTCAAGATTAAGAAATGGTTCGTCATGTCAAGCCAGAAAGAGAGAGAGACAGACAGAGAGAGAGAGAGAGAGAGAGAGAGAGAGACAGATAGAGAGAGAGAGAATGACAATTTTGACACCTGTTCAAAGTTGTTTACACCTGACAACATCAGTCTTAAGATATTTATGGCTGTGAATATATTACAGTTTACTTTCAGTCGTTTGACTATTCCATTATTCATTATTTCTGAATCATCTAATTTACGCACATCATGACATCTTTCATCTTGCACACCCCTACCTATCTCAACTTGCTGCAACAGCCAATTTGATTGATGATTGTAATGTGTAACCGCCCCTACGGACTGTACCCAGTGACACACTATCCTGGCTCTCTCTCTCTCTCTCACACACTCTCTCTCTCTACCCCCACCTAACCTCTACACTAGACTCCCATTCCTCCTGGTTCTTTATTCTTTATTTTTATATTTTGTAACAAAAAAAATCTTCCCCAGCACCATAACCTGACATTCTTGTTTGAGGATTATGTAAATATAGGAGTCTGCGGAGCCATTTACATACAAAGGAGCAACGCCTGTTATTAAAACACACACAAAAAATATTTTATGTGGAAACTTTGCTTGAAAATAGAAAATCTTTTACTATTCTTAGTTATTATTATAACTGTATATACTAACATATGTAGACATATTTATATGCATATATTCACATGTATTATGAAATTATTTTTGTCTTTCTCAAGTAGACAAATGCAGTAACAGGTATCGTTCAGATTAGAAGCTATACGCTGCTTCAGTTCTTTTATCAAGTGAAAATTTTCAAGGATTATTTTGAGTTGTCCTCTTTTTTTTAATCTTACGTGATTGTATACCCCACAACAGCTCATCCTCCTCTTTAGTTAGTACCTATAGTAACGATATAGGTACGTAATATAGGTATTATAATATAGTGGAGAGGGGGGACCTGCTGCCTGGGTAACAGCTTCTCCCCCGAATCAACCTACCCTTGGCTTTGCGCCCTGGTGAGGCCACTCCAGACCAGGCCGACATCAGAGCCCAACTCCATAGTCTCCTGAGACTGATGAATGCCTACTACGTAATATAGTACATATTTGACTTAGTGGACAGTTAGAAAGCAGAACTCGTTACTATTTAATTTGGACAAACCAGAAAAAGTATTGTATTTATGTTGCAAAGACAAAATAAACTAACCTAAGGCCTAATATAGTACATATATATGAGCTATACTAGGAATATTTACGTTTGTTTTATAGCTTTATTTTTTTCGGACTTTTATAAATTAAATAGTACTAAATTCTACTATCTAATTCCCTTTTACTTCAATGTTTGTACTATCGGGCACATAGTTATAAAAATTAATATATAAACAGAAGGATAGGTTGACTACAACTATAAAAACTTACTCACTCTGTTTTAATATATTCACTTCATATTAAGGACACAGTGTCAGACTAATCATTGGAAAAACATTTAATATTTTTTATAAAAAAAAAAAACTATACATAAGAATTGTTATAGCATAAAAACCGTTGAATAGTTGTTGCTTAAAATGCATATTTAATAAAGTCACTGATATGCACAGTGACGTATGTACATTACCACAATTATCACGTCTAATTCATTATTTTGTCAATTAAGATATGATGAAGAACAGGACAAATTGCAGAGCTCTAGGCACCTCATTATACCGTCAGGTTCGAAGGGTCTAATGACTTTGACATTCAGTAACGTCCAGTCATTATATCCTTCAGTCCTGCCGACATGTTGAGCTGCTTAGAACTTTGTAATCTATCCACCCCCATGTTCTTGAGGAGTTTTGCAATCTATCCACCCCCATGTTCTTGAGGAAATGCTCACCGAGAGGAAATGTTTATTTTTTAATATATATAATATATATATTTTATATTTAATATAAAGAAAATACTTTTAAATATTAGTCCAGGATGGTTCAAATTGGTTTTATTTTTGGCTGCAACGATTGCTTCAGATATATATATATATATATATATATATATATATATATATATATATATATATATATATATATATATATATATATATATATTTTAACCAATGCATGTAAAAATCTAGTTCAAATTCAATTAAACATGTAAAACTTAGCAAACTAATCTAACTTAATAATACCGATGCCTCAGTATTCCCTAACATAGATAAAACTAGGCCTATAGTTAATAATTCATAGTCAATTTTATTCATTTCGATAATTATATTTTAAAATATGCAAAATAGCTCTGGCTGTTAGGCCAGAGCTATTTTGAGCCAAACCCTGCATAATAAGCTTAACAGTGCGGGTCTGATTATTAGACATAACACGTGTATAGTATACATACATTCCCACTAAATTTATATTTTTGTATAACCATGTATCACGGCTCTAATATACATTTATCTCGACAGGTTTCGGACGACTTGGGCTACGTGATCTACTCGGCCCTTGGGAGCTTCTACATTCCAAGCTGCATCATGATTTTCGTCTACATTCGAATCTACTACGCGGCCAAGGCCCGGGCGCGGAGAGGCGTGCCAAAGAAAAAGCCCACACCATCAGGAGCCACCAGACAGCCGATGAACAAACCGGCCAAAAAACATCACAGCAATAAAATGCCAGGTAACCCCCCAAACACCTCTACCACCAGTTTCTCTAAGCCCCCAACGCCCACTCCCGCGCTCACCGCTGACGACTCCAGAAACGGATCCAATGAGCGGACGGGACTGCTCAATAAGAAAGTGCTCATTTGTGACGTGCGTGTCCACGAGGAGATGCCATCCTCCCGGTGTGTCACGCCCACGGAGAATCCAGAGGACACGCCCTTGCGGACTGTGAGTGAGCAAGTGGACGCGGATCATAGGAATCACAACACCAAGAGCGAGAATGGGCTGTATATAGGTCCTCTTGGCTCCGACAACCCGGACCTTACGATTGGGTTGCCGACAGTACCTACGGTGCCCCCGCCCACGCCCATGAGAGAGACCAACGTAACGCTGGCGTCGCCGGCGGGTTCCTTGCGGCGTGGAGTACCGCCATCTGGTATGGACGGAGATCAGATGAGCGATATTGATCCTTCGTCGTCAGATTCGGGAGTTGTGACACGCTGTTCTGTGGTAAAGCCCTTGAAGCTTCGTTTCTGCCACCCTCTTCTGGGCAAAAAGCTCACAAAACCCAAGAGAGAGCTCATAGATATGGGCAGAGTCTCAACGCCGAAGGCTCGAGATCCCGAGAAAGAGAAGAGGAGACTGGCCCGCAAGAAGGAGAAGAGAGCCACGCTCATCCTTGGCCTCATAATGGGTTCCTTCATAGCCTGTTGGTTTCCCTTCTTTTTCATGTACATCTTGGGGCCACTTTGTCCTGCTTGCTACATCCCTGGATACGCCTTCGATCTGGCCTTCTGGCTCGGGTATATGAACTCTGCCTTCAACCCAGTCATTTACACAATCTTCAATAAAGATTTCAGGCGTGCGTTTAGAAAGATTCTCTTCAAATAGGCAGTTCATCATTATTATCTCTTAAGAAATTACATTTCTGAAGTATTGCTCATTCATGTTATACACACACAATAATGACTGCTGGCAATTGTGGTGACTTGACTCGGTGATATAACAGAAATTACGTCTCAAAAGATAATTTATTCCACACGCCAGACTGAAAACCTTTTTAGACGTATGAAAAACAATTTTTTTTTTCATTCCATGCATAAGAGCAAATTATTTTTAAGTTTCCGATTAAATAACATGACGAAAAAAAAATCAATTTTGTCGCCATGAAAACGGGAAGTGGACCAATGGGAGACTCCATGGGATCAATCACTGTGCTTTTAGACGAGTCCTGAGTGCTTGGAGTGAGGAGGGCGTGCTGCTCCCTCCTCCTGTGGAGGAATGGACCTCCTGTGGAGGATTGGCCTCCTGTGGAGGAATGGGCCTCCACCCCCTGCAGGAACAACCACCCTCCCCCACTTGGCCTGCACCATCACTCCTGCCTCAGAATCACAATTACAAACCCCCTTGTGTGACCTGTGAGTGCTATGGTTAGGTTGTATACACAATACGCTTGAACACAGAAAAATATCTTACTGTTTTGATTTCGTAAGTGTTGTAAACTACGGTATTGTAATAGCTTTTTATGAACATGTAAACCGCCATTTTCTGCATGGCGATATCATGGATTTGTATTTACAAACAAGAAAACACGTGTGTGACTATATTTATATATAAATATAATATATATATATATAAATATAAATAGAGGGAAAACTTGCCTTATAACTTTAATCAGCAAACAGATGTTTAACCATATGGGAAATACTTAAAATATTCCTATAGACTCCAGAAAGTCACTACTGTTCATGATCATACACCTTTTATTAACAATACACAGTAGTCAAACAGTAACTAGATTAGGTTAAGTTGTATATTAAGTAATGTTAAGTTGGTTCGCTAAATTAGTAATGGTACCTTTTATAAACTTAATGTATTCTGCTCAAATATATATATATATATGTGTTTGTGTGTTTACCAACACAACAGATTATTTCGTTCATTTAAACACACATATTTGGCAGTTGTCCCTATTTGGCTTGACTATATTATATATATATATATATATATATATATATATATATATATATATATATATATATATATATATGCAAACAAGCCTGAATGGTCCCCAGGACTATATACAACTGAAAACTCACACCCCAGAAGTGACTCGAACCCATACTCCCACAACTGGTATGTACAGGGACGCCTTAATCCGCTTGACCATCACGACCGGACATAAGGAAGTGATAGCCGAGGCTATATGAACCACTTCCCCGCCGGCACTCGGATGGTAATCTTGGGCATAGCATTTTATCAAATCACCTCATTCTTTGGGGCACACGTGAGGAACACAAATGCAAACAAGCCTGAATGGTCCCCAGGACTATATACAACTGAAAACTCACACCCCAGAAGTGACTCGAACCCATACTCCCACAACTGGTATGTACAGGGACGCCTTAATCCGCTTGACCATCACGACCGGACATAAGGAAGTGATAGCCGAGGCTATATGAACCACTTCCCCGCCGGCACTCGGATGGTAATCTTGGGCATAGCATTTTATCAAATCACCTCATTCTTTGGGGCACACGTGAGGAACACAAATGCAAACAAGCCTGAATGGTCCCCAGGACTATATACAACTGAAAACTCACACCCCAAGTTCATAAAATTGAATTGGTTCATATAGCCTCGGCTATCACTTCCTTATGTCCGGTCGTGATGGTCAAGCGGATTAAGGCGTCCCTGTACATACCAGTTGTGGGAGTATGGGTTCGAGTCACTTCTGGGGTGTGAGTTTTCAGTTGTATATAGTCCTGGGGACCATTCAGGCTTGTTTGCATTTGTGTTCCTCACGTGTGCCCCAAAGAATGAGGTGATTTGATAAAATGCTATGCCCAAGATTACCATCCGAGTGCCGGCGGGGAAGTGGTTCATATAGCCTCGGCTATCACTTCCTTATGTCCGGTCGTGATGGTCAAGCGGATTAAGGCGTCCCTGTACATACCAGTTGTGGGAGTATGGGTTCGAGTCACTTCTGGGGTGTGAGTTTTCAGTTATATATATATATATATATATATATATATATACACGGGGGTATATTATTAACTGTTAATATCTACTGATTTTGGTAGGTAGACAGTAGTAGATTTTTGAGCATTTTGGACATCTACGTCTGGGTCCTAAGTGTTGTACCCCATATAGTTTCATCAACGAAAGTGAGCCATGGTAAGTGACGATGGTGTAAGTTATTGTAAACACCAATTAGAACCGTTATTTGATAATTACCATCGAATACTAACTTGCTTGTAGCTTCCCGAGAAATGCAAAGATCGGCATCGTAGTTGTAACGATGAATACCGTGATGACTCTCCTGATGAGGCTTGGTGTATGTGTTCCTCGTGACGAGGTTGGTAATGTGCCTCAGTGGTAGTTATCATGGTCATTCCTCTGGTATTTTGTGGTAGCCGCAAAACATCTAGAGTTGGATTCATCGCTGCTGTAGAATGTGTGTTTAGTGCAAAGAGTAGATCTTGAAATGTATTTGATTGAGAATTTCGAATATTTATGTACACAATTCTGATTCAAAATGCTGCATGGAATGACTCAAATGTATACATTCTGGAAATTAAGCATTTGATAAACTAGCAATGAAATCATTTAGCAAAGAAAATACTATATATATTTGTTGGCTAAATTGGAATTCTTGTACCCGCTTGTTAAGCTTCATTGCAAGTGTGATCTTGAAAACAAATGCCGGTGCAAGAGTCATCCATTCAGCATTGTTGAATTATGTGACTATTTGTAGGTAAGAACTGAATGTGTCTTGCAGTCAAAAGTGTGCTGGATGTCTTAAGATCACTCCTTAAGAGGAATAGCATTTAAGCTCTCCTTATAATCCAAAACGCTATTGTATATAAGTCATTCCTTCACGGAAATTTCAATGTTGCATATCACATCATATCCGCTGGCATATGTCATTTATAGAAGGGGGTATTTTCCAATTATGTTAATGACATTAATTCGGGTTATACAAACCCGAATTATATTATTCATAATGAGCGCAAATCACCTCCACCATTGCTCTTAGTACTAACACCACCATCACCACTCACTACTGTCGGTCACTACAACCATTAAGTCGTTTCGATAATCATAACACCCCATTCTTCTCCTCAAAGTGGCCTCTATTACACACTTTACCATTAACAAAGTACCTGCAATATAAGTCATCGCTGTTATCAATATCACCCTCAGCACCTGGATTGTTTATTGTTGCAATCGTCCTCATCAGCGTTATCATCATTGTTAACGTCATGTTTTATCATGGTTCGCATTATCCATATCATTGTCATCATATCACAGTTGTCATTATTATTACCATTTATCATTTTCATCGTCACTGTTACTAGATATCATTCATAACACAGTCGAACTGTGTTGTAGCCTAGCCGCAACTGCCAGTACGTTCATTATTGAGTATTAGTCGTTCAGGGAACACGTTCAGTATATTTTTGATCAGCACAGGTTGCATTTCATAAATCTTAACCCAGACTTTTCTGGTGCGACCAGAAAAGTCGCACCAGACTTTTTTTTCCTGATTTACGAACGTAAGAATAAACGGAATACATACAGATCTCGTCGTAGACCCGTAACTCTTATCTTGATCACGGAGGGTTCGTAGTTACTAAACAGTTTACGAGCTCCGAAGCACTGAATGGTCATTCTCGTAGCCCCGTCCTCATCAGCAAAGATCGGAAGTGATTACATGCAGCCGCCAAATCCCTCCCCCACCCTCCAGTTTATTAATAAAAACCCTTTTCACACAATTATTGACGTTCGAACATTTCCGGAACAGTGCTTCGCTGACGACTTTTGTTCGAATCGCAACTCTATAAATGCTTCACCCGCGTACTAAATATAAAAATAATTGCCAACAGGACTTGAACTAATCTATGTCTAAATATCCACAATATGCTCATATTAATTTATATTGGAGAAATTTCAAATTTTAAGTGAATAGCATGTTAAAATTGATGAATGCGTCTTTGGGGTCGGCCGCTGGATGGAATGGACATGAGGACTGGTCGCCTTGTCTTTCAGAGCTTGTAAATTGTTTAATAATTACAGATTATGCCGCCGTGATCGAAATAAGAGCTACTGATCTGGTATGTGGAGCCAGCAGTGCTCTGGGTATCTTATTCAATCTTACTGATGAAGTTGAAACATCAGAACTTTTAGAGTATCCTGGAATATATCTTGATTCCTTGTCCACTAAAATGAATTAAATTGATTAAAAATCCCCTTATAAACCAATTACATTTTTGTATTTCTAAAGCGCTAGCACTATATATATATATATATATATATATATATATATATATATATATATATATATATATATATATATATATATATATATATAATATATTAATTTACATGAATCATACTATTTTACAATTAGCAATTTTATCAGGCAACAAATCTTTTAATACAGGAGATCCTTTATGTTTGGCACAGGCAAACTGAACCATAAAACATCCATTAATATAACGTATATCAGACAACAAAAACAATCAAATGAACGCTTATTATTCACACCATCTGGCAACTCCTTTGACTGCAACCATTACTTCATCTGTGATTGTTAATGTTAGTTCTCTCAGAAGGAAGGAACTAAGCCTGTGGCCATGTGCTTGCGTGTGTGCCGTTCTTGCACCGACACCCGTTTATACTACGTTATCAGTACACGAGAAAATTAATGATTAAAGAAGAAAACCTGTTAATATATTACTTCAATCCAGAATATATATGTCAGTACTAACGTTAATTTACTGATTAGTTAGTAAGCTATTGTGGTGATTTGAATACCCTTCCAGAGGTTCATAGGCTTTAAGCCCAACACTAAATGGAACATCAAAAATACACTTGAGAGATTTATTAACGCAAAATGAGTCATTTTCTACAGCATCTGTGAAACAAATGGTCGAGGTTGATGTCTTAACCAAAATTTATTGTCTCTTGTTGATGGTATATTGACATGAAGACTCATACACATCAGTTTTCTAGTAAATCTTGGTTTTTTGTTTTTAAATTTTCATTCTTTTTCTCGTGTCGCCCTTTTTCTCCAAGTAGCACAAGAATGTAGAATTTGCAAGCGCGGTTGCAGCGGGTTGCATGTACTACACTCCACGTTTGTTACCACAACAAATTAAAGAAAACACGCACACTCGCGGATTAGATGCAAGAACACCACACACCGATATGTATACAGGCTGGGTACTAATCCTGTCCTCTCGCCCTGCCAATCCTTCCCCACCTTCCCATCGCAAGACATGAGCCCGTTACTGTTCAACTGAGCCCAACCAGTGACGGTCTTATGCTGAAGGACACTTTTTTGTTTAAAGCCCCTTGCACCATCTTCCTGCATCACTCTCTACTCTTTCTCCCACGCTAATTCCTCCATGCAGAGCAAATTCTTCCCTCCTCCCCCTCCCCTATTCCGCTAGGCACTTCTCCATCTTTGGTATTTCAACATAGTCCACTGTTTAGAAATCTTAATATTTTGTCCGTAGTCCTGTGTTTGTCTGTGTTACTAAATGTTGGTTATAAATACTAGGTAGCATCAAGCCATAGAGTTTTGATAACAGACTTTCCGGAATCATTGTCATCATTAATAAACTGATGAGACGGTGACACATTATGCAAATAATTACGAGATCTCTGTAATTTCCCCTGTGTGTGTGTGTGTGTGTGTGTGTGTGTGTGTGTGTGTGTGTGTGTGTGTGTGTGTGTTTTTAACATTCTTGGCAATTGAAAGCGACGGTCTAGTAAGAACAGTTTATTTTGGACGTGTCACAGTTGCTCAGTTGCAACAGCCTAAGGAGGCAGCCTATGTCCTATATCCCATTGAACATTCGTATAATTTTCCCCTTGTTATATAAACCTACTGAAGCCATTATTATGACGTTACAATAATGTTGATCATCGTTTTACTTAGGTCCATGTTTAAGATCTTTGTTGCCACTTTACCTAGGCCAGTATTAAGAA